AGAGAGAGAGAGAGAGAGAGAGAGAGAGAGAGAGAGAGAGAGAGAGAACAAAGCTCTGAATGCAGGCCTCCTGATGTCCAGGCCCACACTACGTCTGCCCTGTCATTCTGCTCCCTTGAACCTAGACATCTTACATCATCCTAGACGCAAAGTCCTTTTCCAGTCTAGGAATTGCGTCGGGGGCCACAGAGACCGGAGGCTGGGGAGGCATCGATGGTCCGGAGGCTGTTGCTGTGGCTGATGAGTTCACAGGGCGCTGAGGCAGGCAGGGTGAGTGGCTTGGAGAGGGGAGCATCAGTACCTGCAACTGCGTCCCCTTTCCTTACTTCAGTGTGGTCTCCTTTGGGGACAGGGTGGCACCCATTTGATAGACAGAGTTTCTGAGAGTTTCCTCACGCTCAGAGAAAGCAGGGGACCTGCAGCTCGTCACTAGTGGCTGGGGTGGGCGTTGACCCCCTTCTGTCTCTCCAGAGTGGTCTGTCCCTGTGGCAGACAATTCATGCCTTCAGCACCCGTTGCTCTGCCTGGGGCATCTCCCTGAGGGCGGTCCCCAGCATCCATCCCAGCACTGTTACTAGGGAATTCAGAGCCCCACCCCCACCCAACCCCAGTGAGTGACCTGAGGTGGTGGCTGCCATGTTTTACATCCTCACCCCACAACAGGATCGTTCGTTCTAAGGCTGCTCAGACATCTGCTCACTACACGCCCCCAGCAGGGCGGAGCTTAACTGTCCACAGACACTTGCTTCCTAACAACCCCCTTTTGGTTCGTCCCTTTTTACTCCCCTCACACGGGTCTCCTGGGATCCCTCTCAGAGAGACTTCCGCTTCCGACCTTTGAGTCAGCGTCTGTTTGTAGGAAAACCCCAAGGAAGGCAACTGCCTTCTTAGAAACAAAATAAAACAAACAGATGATCAACAACAAAACAGTGGACAGGCAGGCCTGTCATTACAGCGCTCGGCAGCTCAGGAGGTGTGTGTGTGGGGGGGGGGCAGGAAATTCACAAGTTCAGCTCCAGTCTGAGCTACATAGCGGGACCTTGTCTCAGTAAATCAAGGGCTGGGAAGGTCGCTCGGTAGTAGAACATTTATCTGGTGTGTGCATGGCCTTCGCTTCCATCCTCAGGACCACAAAGGGGTGGTGGGGGGCTAATGAATGACCAACAGTTTTGTAAAAGTACAGGAGGCCTTTATGGCTCCTCACTGCCCACTGATCTGTAGCATGAATTGTTAGAAGGTCTTATCAATAAAGACAAACCTGGGCCCAGGTGTTGGGGTCAATGCTGGAAGATCAGAGAAGTAGAACAAGCCACAGCCACCTCACCTCGCCAATTCCTCAGCTGATCCTGTTTCCTCAGACTGGAAGCCTCTGTGTCCCCATATCCGAAGGGATTTCAGCTGAACTGCTTCTCGAAAGCCTGAAAGCTTAACCAGCTCTAATTCCTGGTCCTCACACCTTATATACCTTCCTGCCATCACTTCCTGGAATTAAAGGCTCTTGTCACCATGCCTGGCTGTTTCCAGTGTGGCCGTGAACTCACAGAGATCTGGGTGAATCTCTGCCTCTGGAATGCTAGGACTAAAGGCGTGTGTGCCTCCATTTTCTGGCCTCTATATCTAGTGGCTGTTCTGTTCTCTGACCCCAGATAAGTTTATTAGGGTGCACAATATTTTAGGGAACACAATACCACCACACTGCTCTTTTGGGAAAGGCCGTTGAACAGTAAGCAAGCTGGCGTACTGCAGGACTTCACAGGGCCTTTGCTCCTAATGTGCAGGTCTCAGCCTGCCTGAGAGCATGCTGATTATAGGAGCACTGAAATCTTCTTGGTAGTAGCAAGGGATGTCTGGGGACAGAAAGGCCAGCTGAATGAAGTCAGGAGCCCTTGGCTCTTTTTTTACACTGTTGTTTACTCATAGTGTGGTCTTGTAAGTGTCCCTGTTGTTTGTATCAATGTCCCCATTTGTTGCATGACAGAGAGAGTGGAGTCCCTGAGGGAACTTGCAGTCTGGGTGTTAGGACCTGAACGTTCTCCACCCTCAGCTTCTGGCTTGTGACCTTTGACCAACTCTGGCCAAAAACAGTCCTTGGAATAGGACAAAGGGTTCCAGGAGGAACCAGTCTGCCAACAGCCCCAAAACTGTCCTTCAGTCTTGCTCTTCAAAGATAAGAAGTAAAATTTGAGTGCAAAATGTGTTCCAGTCATAAAAAGTTTCCCTAGACAACTTCACAGGCTTTTGAGACAGGGTCTTGGGTCTTGCTCTGTAGTCCATGCTGGCCCAGAAGTCACTGTGTTGTTCAGGCTGGCCTGGGACTCACGATCCTCTTGCTTCTGTGTGCTGGGATTACAGTCAGGCACAGCTCACCCTTCCAACCCCATCCCCCTTAAAACCAGCTTGGGAGTGATTGGTGGCAAGTAAAGTTGACGGATGGAGCTGCAGAGCCTCTAGCTCCCTTCCAGTCCTGGGAGCTGGGTTTCTACAATGCTGAGAATCGACGGTGTCGTTGGTTCCAAAATTCTCCACATTCATCTAAGTCAAACCTTCTAGAATCATCTAAGTCTTGTTCTCAAGAACAAGATTGTGATTCTCAGGAACCCCGGCTTGTTCTTCCTCGCCCCTGGTGTGAGCTTACCAGGCAGTCTGCCCACTGACCCTTATCAGCCATCTGTCCCCTGCTCTACTGTACCTGTAGACAGAGACTTTTCTGTTCTGCCCAGTCTCGTGGTCCCGCAGCAGCTTATGAAATAATCACCCAGAGGCTTAATGTTAATTACAAACGGTTTGGCCTATTGCTCAGGCTCATTACTAACTTGCTCTTGCAACTTAAATCAACCCGTTTCTATTAATCTATGTTTTGCCACGTGTCTTGTGGTTTTACCTGTGTTCTAATACATCGTGCTCCTTTGGCTGCTAGCTGGCTAAGTGTCTTCTCGACTCTGTTCTCTTCTCACCGTGTCTCTGCTTGGATTTCCTGCCTGGCTATATCCTGCCTTGCTATAGGCCAAAGCAGCTTCTTTATTAACCAATGGTAACGAAACATATTCACAGTGTACAGAAAGACGTCCCACAGCAGTACCAGTGGCCACTGGCTCAGGCTTTCATCCAGTTCCCCGGAGTCCCTATGGTGACCTCCTCTCTGGCCTGTCTGCCCACCCTCAGTGCTGCAATCAGGACGGCCTTTCTGACAAGCATATCCCAGTCTCTGGTGAACGTTAATGATAGCTGCGGGGTTTTTAAGACACAAGTTCAATCATGTCTCCTCACTACATCAAATCTTTCTACAGTTTCTCTCGTGGACCACAGGATAAAATGCTTTTCTTTTAATTATTACAGTTACTTTAAGTGTAGGGATGTTTTGCCTGTGTGTGTGTGATTGTGTACCTGTTGTATAACAGTTTCCTCTGAGATTGAAACAGTTCATCCTGCAGGAAATTCCTTAAATAGGAAGGTGAACACAACTCAAAACAGCTTCAGGAAGTCCCTGAAACTGACGGGATTCACTAGGCCCCTCCCTGTTAGAGTGAGTAATAAAAGCTGAGGGCCTCTCTCAGATGAGCAGAGGTGAGCTGTAAAGAAGACTCTCTGAGGAGAAAAGCTGCACAGAAGATTCTGAGACCACACCAGCTGCCTGGAAGAAGCAGAAACCAGCTGATCTGCCTGGTCACTTGGCCAGAGTCACTTGGAAAGGACACTCTCCAACCTGTTGGGCTGCCTGCGGGCTGTGCAGTGTGCTCCAGGTTCCCAGCTGTGTGAGCTGTCACCTATGCTGCGGTGGGCTTTGGTGATGCAGCTGTCTGTGAGTCATTTCTGCTCCTGTGAGAAACCCCTCACCCATATTCCTGCGAGTAACATCAATAAAACTCATTGGCTCATCAAGTTGGACTTTGGTGGCATCTGTACTTTGGTCTGTTGTGGGTTCCCTATCTGGGGTGAGTAGTGTGTTGTGTCTCCCTGGAAGTGTTTTGCCACACAGCAGCCAGAAGAGGGCATCACATCCCTGGAACTGGAAACGAGTTACAGCCGGTTATAAGCCACCATGTGAGTATAGGGAAACGAACCATTGTTCTCCTAAACCCTGAGCCATCTCTCCAAGCCCAAAACGTATTTCTTTAGTCTGATATGAAATGCTCTTTCTGACCCAGCTCTTGCCTCCTCCTTTGACTGTATTTTCTGTAATTCTCCAATGCTCTCTGTGCTGCCAAACCCTGGGGTGTCCACGTGTGCCACACAGTTTCATGTCTGATTCTGTCTCTTCTGCTGGCCATGCTTCTCCTGCCCCAACTACCACCCTTTCCTCCAGTGTCCTCCAAATCAAGATGCTACTCAACTGTGTCAAAAATCATGGTTCAGAAGAAGGATCTTCACAGTTCTGAGAGCTGGTGGGTGCTTCTTCTGTCTGGGCTGGCCTCGCTCACACCTGGGCCTCCAGTGAGATACTCTGGGCAGCCGTAATCTGTCTTGGCATGATTGAATCCTCCAGTGGGCTAGCTTGGGCTTCTGAAGTGGACTCAGGGGTGCCAGCAGCAAGAGCGAAGGCAAGTGTTTACCCAAGCACCCTGCGTTTGCCAGCTCTCTGCTTACGTCACACCGGCAAATGTCCACCTGCCACAGAAAGTCACATGACCAAGCCCAGACTCCAGGGCAGCTGAAAAGAGCATCCCAGCTGCTGCAGAGGCAGCCAGTGTTGGATGCACAGTCTCTGTAGCCCTTCAGCCAGGGACTATCTGGTTGTTCCTGTGTTGGAAAACCCATTTTGTCTTCCTGAGAGTGCTTCTTTTCCAGGAATGTCGCCCTTCTTTCTTCTGAAAAACTACCCTTTCCTCACTTCAATTCAAATCCTTCTTCCAGGCACAGGA